TTTTTTTTTTTTTTACCATGAGAGATCAATGGAGAATTGGAGATGGTGGTGAATTGATGTGGAGGATGAATAGTTTTGTTGGGAGATTAATTAATATTGAAAGTGAAGAGTAGTTGGTAATTGAGTGAATTCGTTAAGGGTAAAATTGTCATTTTAGTCTCTCAAATGACAAATTTTCATTTTATTTCCTATCATACTACTTTTTATTTTTTGTTTTAAAAAAGTGTTAACAAACCAGGACACTATTTATTATGCTATGTAGCAACAAAATAGAGCAATGAAAAGAATACGAGAGATGCTCTAAGACACTAACAGTTGAATGAGAACTCACTTCTTAACTACTTTTTCAACTTTTATAAACTATATTTTATTTGAAAATTTTAAATTTCAAATTTTGGAACTACTTTTTCAACTTTTATAAACTATATTTTATTTGAAATTTTAAACTTTCACTTCTTGAAATCATAATTTAGTGTTGAAATTAAACACATAATCAAATAATAAAACACCTAATCTCATCCTAAGCTTTTAAAAATCCTCTTCATAAACATCTGCATAGTGTAAAACTATGCTAAATAAATACAGTTTCTTAATGTACGTGATTGAATGCCCTCTCTTCCATCTTTATCTAGTGCGGTACTCGTGCGATACGGACTGATTTTATTAAAGTAAGTATTTATATTTTGATGATTGAAAGAACGTAAAAACTATGTATTGAAATAAAACAAAATGTAACTTATATATTATTAAACAGAAAACAATGTACCTCTGTGTAAACTGTATTCTAAATAGACTTAAATGAATCAATTAAATTATTTAGAATGATAAATATGATATGCTTTCATTTTACTTGTGTAAAACTATTAATTAACTTTTTTACTACTTGGATATAGTGTCACCATTGTTAATTATTAGTGATAGATCTAGGGATATAAATGGGTCGAGTTGGGTACGAGTTTTGGCAAACTCGAATCCGACCCGCATATAATTTACCATACCCACACCCGACACGTTACCCGACTAATGATCTTCAGGTTTGGGTTGAATTTTACCCATCGAGTTAGTGGATTTTCGTCGGGTAAACGGGTAATCCGAGTTTTAAATTTGATAGATCCAAAGATTTAAAGATTCAAAATTTATATAGTGTCATCATTGTTAATTACTACTTGAATATAGTGTCATCATTGTTAATTACAGATAGATCCAAAGGTTCAAAATTTATATACTTATATTACCGAGTTTTAAATTTGATAGATCCAAAGATTTAAAGATTAAAAATTTATATAGTGTCATCATTGTTAATTACTACTTGAATATAGTGTCATCATTGTTAATTAATGATAGATCTAAAGATTCAAAATTTATATACTTATATTACCACTTGGGATAATGTCATGATGATGGTTACTTGAAGACAAAAATTACCAGTGTTTTACTATTTACTCATAGATTCTGCGGGTTGGAGTGGATTTCTTTTTTTCTTTTTACCATTCGATCATGCCTATTTAAAGGCTAGATTCTAAACTTTATAAGACCCTATGCAAAATGTATTAAATTACCTCTTTGATTTTTTTTACTTTTTTTTAAGTTAATTAAAAAATATTATGTTTTTTTACCAGAAAAAAATTATGTTTTTCTTTTTACCAGAAAAAAACATTATGTTACCAGCCGCAATAAAGTATAATGTTGCTTTTCATTTTTAAAAATAAAAAAATAAGCAGCCAAAACACCAAACTTTCATTTATTTAATTATATGACTTAAATTTAATACATAATCGCAAATACAATTATAAATATTTTTATTGAAAATTATTAAATTACTATTTTTATATTTAAGTTAACTAAATAGCAAAAATAAATTGAAACTCTTTTAATAACTATCATTAATATTATTGAATTGTGTGATCATATGAAATAACATTTTGTATATTCAGGATGAAATTTTTTGAAAAAGAAAATAATTAAAAGAATAAGAGGAATTTATGTAAAGAGTAATTAGTGTTACTACTTTTTTTTTTTTTTTTGGCCGAAACGATAGAGGGTCTATAAAAACTAAGGGCACAAATGTGCAAATAAAGATACAAAGCTCCCAACGGGAGAATAAAAGCAACCAAAAGCTGAATAAAATGGGAGGACAGTCTGAAGACTGCCTAGAATCTCGATGCTAGCAACGCTAGAAACTAAAAGAAAGACTCACTAGACAAACTAACACAACAAAACACAAAGAAAAACTACGAAGCTCCCCACAGGAGAATAGAGACGAGAGCTGCTCCCACCAGGAGAATCAAGGTGCTCCTGCTCAAGCTTACAGAGGCCAACGACCCAAACCAAAAACACAAGCGCCTAAACAACACAAAACAGATGATCAAACACAAACAACCAAACAACAGAAACGAAGGGTGTCTCTGATACGCATAAGAGGATGTTGGATCTGCCATGAGCCCTGATGGCCAGATGTCAAAACTGTAATGACAGCCGCAACATCCATCTCTATCCAAACATGAGCGGAGATCGAGGCGGCAATCTCAAGACCAATCTGGAGCGCCTGAATCTCAGCATCATAACTCGAGGAGGCCCGGAGTGGCCCATGGAAGGCAGAGATGAGTGCCCCACCATGATCCCTAATCAGGCCCCTTCCTCCAGCAGCTCCGGTATGTCTGTCGAAAGCGCCATCAGTGTTTAGCTTAACCCAAGGGGCCTTGGGTTTCAAGCCAAACAACGGTCCTGGGTCGTGGATGCTGGACAGGTAAAGGAGGTGGTTGCCTCAAACGATGGGGCGGTGTACACCCTGTCCAGTCCCTCGTCGTGAGTCTACCCAAGGCTGTGAGAAGAGAGAGGTGTCTGTCAACCTGCAAAATAATATGAGCACAAGAAAATATAATATCCCTATGCTTCGCATTATTCCTTTCTGTCCAGGTGGCCCATAGGATCAGACAAGTAATAAGGAAGCCCACGTGTCTACTGTGTGTGCGATGTGAGAAAAAACTCAGAAGCTCAAAAAAACTGTCTGTAGTGGGTAGGGGTATATCTGGCATAGTGCTCCCACACTCTCCTCACAGTCTCACTCTCAAGGAAAAGATGGGTGAAAGTCTCGATCTCAAAGGTACTGGTCTCAGCACAACAATGGCAGCGGGAGGGGAAGGAAAACCCTCTCGCCTGCATCACAGTATCAATGGGAATGCGTCGTAATAGGAGGCGCCACAAAAAGAAAGAAATGGTCGGTGTGAGAAGGTCGGTCCATATGGCCCCGAAGAGGCGGTTTGGCCGGTTGCCCAGCCTCACATCTCCCCAGGCTGATGACGTAGAGAATGCACCCGAAGATGTAAGTCTCCACCTCATACCATCCAAACCTCCCTCCAGAATGGGAATCTGTCGGATCTGGTCAATCTCTAGACTACTAAAACCCCCACTCTCACCAAGAATATCCTCCATCTTATCTCTATCCCAAAAACCTCGCGTCCAAAGGTCCTTTACCTGCATGAAAGGCAGGTGAGTGACAGGCCTAGTACTCGAGAGAGGGGCCTCGCCGAACCACCACTCATCCCAGAAGCTAACCTCCCCAGAGCCCAAAGTCCAAAAAATGTGCTCCTGAGTACGCCTGCCAACAGTGGTGAGCCGTCTCCACTGTCGACTATCCCGAGCAGTGGCTGTCACCCTGCAGGGATGAGCAGCGCCACCAGGGCAGTATTTCCTCAGGAGGTAATGGGCCCAAAGGGACTTGCCCTCCCTAAGGCGCCACCACATCCTGTAGGAAAACGCAGTAACCATATCAGCGAAACGCCGAATCCCGATCCATTACCAGGTCTCACATATATTCCGGGAGGGGAATCGACCCGCTGATTTCCTTGCTAGCACGGGAGCATCTTTACCCCAGAGACGCACCCTCCTTCTTGAGGACATTCCCCTCCGTCTTAGGACGCTCATTCGGATGGACCAGTTAGAGTACTCATCCTTCAGATTCGGGCGACCGCCACCACCTGCCCCTGACTAGTTTTGACTTTTTGGACTCCATGCCAGATCACTATGACCAGGACGACCTTTTATGAGGTTTTGATTTTAGTTCCATATCGGACTTTTTTTGTGATCCTCGTATTTTTATTTTTTATTTTTTCCAAAAAAAAAAAAAAAACCAAACAACAGAAACAAAATACACAAAAACAAAAAAAACCAAGCCCTTCCACTGAGTCATATCTGAGATGAGCCGGCAGACACTAAATCGACCCCTGAAGAATCCCTCAGCCCAAAAAAGCCGACCCCTCCACTGCCTACTGGCCTAGCTAAGTCGGGTCCCACGCATCGAGATACCCCAAAAAGTCAATTCTCCCCGAAGCCCAAACTCCATAAAGCTCCACGACGTCGCATTATCGAGCCGACTAACACCACTAGCAACTCGGTTCCAACGACAAACGCACCAGGATCCCGCGCCAGAAAGGGTACCCAGCCAACTCAGTTCCGGGCCAACTAACACCACTAGCAGCTCAGTACCAATCGGCTAGTACCCCAAAACACAACACCAAAGATCCTAGGGAGAGAGCACATCCGAAGAAGAAGCATCTCTAGCCGCTTCGGCAGGAAGCTAAGAGACGCCGAAGCCGCACCCGACCCATTCCTGCAGCACCTCACCTCGCCCAAAACCCCCCGCAGCAACACAACACCGCAGTGGACAACAAAAAGCAACAGTGGCGGAACAACACCGCCGAACCAAAGCACTGGAGCCGCACCAAACCTCTGCACCGAAGCGACAGGGCTCCAGCATCGCCGCACCACAATACCATCGCCGAACCACCGCACCGGCCAAGCGAGGATTTGGGCGAAAAATAGTCAATTTCGCATCAAGGCTGACGAGAGAGGGCCGAGTGGCTAGGGGACGACGGCCGGCGGGGCCCAGAAGCCCGGTGGAAGACAACAAAATGGAGAGCAGCGACGCCTAGGGTTGTGGAATTTGGGGGAGACGAACAGGAGAGAATTAGTGTTACTACTAATAATTATTAATTGATTTTGTCACGAAATTTGTAAAATAAAGAAAAAAAATGAAAAGTCTTGTTTAAAAGAAAAAAAAAGAATTTGACATTTCCTATTAATTTTATATACAATATTTTACTATATATAACGAAAACTAGTACAACACCCGTGTATTACACGGGTGTTTGTTAAAAAATTATTCTTAAATTTTAAAATTAATGAGAAAATTATATTAAATTTAGTTTACTTTTTTACAAAAACATTATATTACTATATATTTTAGAATGATATGTGTTACTTATGACTTACGTGTGTTATATTATATTAGTTTTTATAATTTACTAGTACAACGCCCGTATATTACACGGGTGCTTGCTAATTGTTTCCTTAAAATCTAAAATTAATGAGAAAAAATAGTTGAAAATTTAAATACCTTTTATTAAAATATATATAATATTATATATTTAGTATGACACTTTTTATCTGTGTGACTTACTTGTGTTAATTGTAATAATTTTTTTAACTTACAACATATAACTACATTAAACATAAATATATCAACTGAGAAATAATTTTATTTTTCTAATAAATTTTAATAAATATTATTTTTTTATTATTATAAATAAATATAATATATTTATTTTATATATGCAATATAGATGTCAAATCGAAGATCATGAAAAGATGATTAATTTGATATATTATATATGTAAAACCGATAAGAAATACAAAAGTTATCTATTTTTAAAATACATTTATAATTCAATAACTAAATTGAAGGAAACAAATCAAAAGTCAGGGATATATTAGTCACTATCAGTATGTAAAATTACAAAAGAATTAAAGGGTTATATGAGTACAAGTGATATTAAAATACATAAGTTAACTAAATAATATTTATAGAATGTCCGAACCTAGATTATTAATTATTAATATATCATGGTGCGGGTTTTTGTTGAACATCGGGTTTTACAAAGCATGATTCTTCGCCAAGTAGGATTCTGAAGCACCAGAAGCAGCCACGTAGGCTCAGCGCATCTTGAAATTATATATAGGGAGGATATCATATAACTACTTGAAATATAAATATATTAGTTGAGAAATAATTTTTTTTTTCTAATTAATATTAAAAATAATTTTATTATTGTTATAAAGATAAATATAAATTATTTTTTTTATACATACAATATGGATGTTAAATCGAAGCTCATCAAAAGAAGATTAATTTGATATATTACATATGTAAAACTGATAAAAAATACAAAAGTTATTAACTTTTAAAATATATATACAATTCAATAGTTATAATAAGGAATAATATTAAAATGCAATTAATACATGTAACATGACCATAAATAATCAACATATTTATGGTTCTCCGAACCTAATTATTTTTGGTTTGGAATTAAATTAAAATTTACACAAGCCTAATAACGAAGCATGTAATTTTGTCATATAGGATTCTGAAGCACCAGAAGCAGCCACGTAGGATCAGTGCGTTCTGGATTAATATATAGGGGGATGGGCCCTATATATGTGAGGCCCTAGCCCTACCTCAAGCTGACCATGTAGGTTTTTTTTTTCGAAACGATAGATATATTAGATAAAAAAAGCGCATAAACGTACAAAAGTGTAGCCACAAGCTGAATACAAACAGCCAACGGCTGAATAGACTAGGAGGACAGGTCAAAAAGACCGTCTAGAACCGATCCCAACAGGGTAATATTCTAAAAAGAAAAAAAAAACACAACCGACTACAAACACTAAACAGAAGAATAAAAACATGAGCTGATCCCAACAATATAATGGCGGCTCCCACTCTGGCTCACAGAGGTGAACGACCCAAACCAAAAATACGATACATAACAGACAAACAAAGAAAACTAACAACACACCTAGAAATAACAAAAACAACTAAATAAATGTAGCACTTTCTCAACAACTCAACCAAGCACAACCAGCAGACAAAGACGACCCTTAAGCGAAATTCAAAGCCCCGGAAACCATCACTTGACTGCCGAACCTCCTAGATGAAATGGAATCCCAAGCTCAGATCCAAACCAAGACCAGCCTAGATGACAAAGACAACCATGCAGTTTTCTTCATATTTATTTAATCTATCTATCTATCTATCTATAATAATAATAATAATAATAATAATAATAATAATAATAATAATAATAATAATAATAATAATAATAATAATAATAATAACCATTTAAAAAAATAGTAGTAAAAATTTTGGGAGCATTTAATGCATACTTTTTTTTTGAAAACCTTTTAAATATATGCATTAATTGCTTCCATATATAAACATATTCAAATAAGATCAAATCAGATATAATAAAAACTATTGTGTCCTTAAATAATTTTATTAACATCTGCAATAATTTTATTGATATCCATTAAAATAAATTAAAAAATTGATTTTTCTTAATTTACTAGTACAACTCATGTGTATTACACGGGTGCTTGTTAAAAAATTATTCTTAAATTTTAAATTTAATGAGAAAACTATATTAAATTTAGTTTACTTTTTTACCAAAAAAATATATTACTATATATTTTAGAATGATATGTGTTACTTATGACTTACATGTGTTACATTATCTTAGTTTTTATAACTTATATCATATAACTACTTGAAATATAAATATATTAGTTGATAAATAATTTTATTTTTCAAATTAATATTAAAAATAATTTTATTATTGTTATAAAGATAAATATAAATTATTTTTTTATACATACAATATGGATGTTAAAGCGAAGCTCATCAAAAGAATATTAATTTGATATATTACATATGTAAAATTGATAAAAAATACAAAAGTTATTAACTTTTAAAATATGTATACAATTAAATAGTTATAATAAGGAATGATATTAAAATGCAATTAATACATGTAACATGACCATAAATAATCAACATATTTATGATAATCCGAACCTAATTATTTTTGATTTGGAATTGAATTAAAATTTACCCAAGCCTAATAACGAAGCATGTAATTTTTCCACATAGGATTCCGAAGCACCAGAAACAGTCACGTAGGCTCAGCGCATTCTGGATTAATATATAGGGGGGATGTTGATAATATTTTGGTCAAGATAAATATTAGTACAACATATTATAAGTTCTAACCATAATATTAATTTTTTTTTAACAAATTTCACTTTTTATCTAAAAATGTTTATAGAAAATCGTAACATGTTAGGTAGAATTTTTTCTTCCAATTAATCAAGCAAAATCAAATTGGTGAATTAATTTGCCCGTATAATTTTTTCTTAAACTTTATTTCGTTTATATAAAAAATAAATTATTATTCAAATTAATATAATTTAACATTTAAGAGATAATGACTAGACACATTAAATCTTTTTACTAATAGTCAAAAATTAAAATTAAAATATATTAAATATTCTTTAAAATTGATTTGTATATTTTTTGCAACATGATTTTTTTTTTGATTTATTTTTATAACGAAATTCTTGTAAAATATATTTTTATAGCAGAGTATGCTAAATAAACTAAAATCCTTGTAATGCGATTAGAAAAATCTTGATTATAGAAGAGATTGATTTTTTTGCCATTTTATAAATCAAAATTAAAACTATATTCCCACGTAGATTAAAACTACACAACAAAAAAGTTGACAAGAAGGGCCAAAATTTTCTCCTATATATAGTCTCTATATTCTCTGTTCTTCACATAAATTAAAACTACACATCATTCCCACGTAGAGTTATAAACAATGGCTAACACCAAGCCTTTTCTATTCATGGTCCTTTTCATGCTTGCATTCCTCAATGTTGCTCCTATCTCTATCCCTTTAGGTAATTACTCACTACAATCTCTTGATTCATGTCTAAGTTGTGTTCATATATTAATTGATTCATGTCGAAAAAAAATTTAAAATTTAAGGCACGTCACATATATATAACTTTCATCGTGTTGATCATGTCAATTTCTTTGTCTTGCATCGATGAAGATTTGTTTTTTCTTTTACAAACCCTCCGATATTAAGACAATACTTATTTATATTAATGTTCTGATGAATAGTTATTCCCCTCTTAATGTGCTAGGCGAACCCAGAAAATTACTTGGAGATTCTACGATTCAGGGAGGGAGAAATCCAACACCACCAACTCCCCCGAAAGGACATGCACCGGTGCATCCTCACAATCCCAAAAATTCGAGCATTCCCAAACTTTTGCCGCCGCCACCCAAAAAGGGGGGGATCACGACCGATATCGCCGCCTAAGGAGGGAGGATCACCACCAACTCCACCGAATTAAAATCTTGATGTAATAGAATAATAAATAAAATGAAATGAAAGAATAAAGTGTTACATGATAATAATGTGGAAAAATAAAAGTGAAGAAGGATCATATGGAATAAATAATGAATAAGTTACTCTAATCTCTTGGTGAAGCTTATTAAGTGTGTGTGTGTGTGTGTGTG